GCTCTCCAAGTCCCTTGCTCAAGTGCAACCCTAATGTTACAAGGCTCTATAAAACAGGTATTGAATAATAGACTACTTGTAACCTCTTGAGAGCTGTCACTTTAACAGTGGCAATATTACTTTGTGACTTCTCCAACTAGGGGAACATAGGTAATAATTTTCAAAAACATGTAATAGTGGTGAACTCTGGTGGCCTAGTGGCAAGAAGCTGCACTGCAATCCCAGAGGTGAGCTGTTTGAATACACCAGATGCTCTACTGGAGAAGGAGGGACAATCTCTTCCTGTACCAGTTAGATCCGATTTGATGGTACACACACACAAATAAGTTAAATATGCATATGTATATTGTAAAGCCATGAAAAAAAAAGAGGCTAATAAGCAGGATAAAATTTACTTCTGGAAAGTTGCATAACAAAAAGCCCATTAGAGAGCTTTCAAAATTAACAAGTCAGTTGCTGTTGATTATGTGGATTCTAAATTATGGCAACCCCATGAGTGTCACAGCAAGAGTGCATTGCACTGGTGGCCTAGTGGCAAGAAACTGCACTGCAATCCCAGAGGCGCACGGTTCGAATCCACCAGATGCTCTGCCGGAGGAGGCGCAATATCCTCCTGTACCAGTCAGATCTGATTTGACGGTACACACACACAAAAAAATAAAAAAATAAATAAATAAATAAAAGAGTGCATTGCATTGGGTTTTCATGGCTGTAAGCTCCCAGAAAGGAACTCTGGTTGTGTAGTGCGCATAGGCTATTGTGCTACAAACCTAAGGGTGGGCAGTTTGAACAAACCAGTTGCTCTGCAGGAAAAAGAGGAAAGCAATCTGCTTACCGAAGTCCACATCTAAAATTCTTAATAAGCCTTCAAAATTTTAAACTTTCTTTTAACAAGCTTATTTAAATAAGCTGAATATTACGCATCTAAATAAGTCTTATTTCGCCTAATAAGATTAACTGTAGTTAGAAATGTTACTAAATTTGTTCGGCAAACTTAAGTAGATGATGGATATGCAATGGATCTCTAAGAGAAATTAAGAACATTTTGGAGTTGGCATTATGAAAGATAATACCTCTCATGCTGCTGAGAGACATGTTATCAAACTAGTTAATGATATCATCTCATACAGATTTCTTCCATCATTCATCTTTGTCCTCTAGCTTAAGAATAAATTATAACTCAGCAAAGAGACAGTTCTGAAGACCAGAAACACATCATCAATCTTTCAACTCCCCAACCATCTAACATGTATTAAGCACAAATGGATAAAAACCATTCCTAGCCATAACAACAACAACAGCCCTCTAATATACCATGGTGTTTGACTTATCCTGTCAAAGTTGTAGCATCTCATGCTAAAAATGGTCTTAAGTCACTCTAACATCAAATTTCAAGGTAACACTTTTGGAGTTCTTAACAAATTGTAGGGGGGATGGAATTGTTCAATATGTAGCATGTATGTTCTGAGGCTCCATCTAACATACTCTGGACATGTTGTAAAGAGGGACAGGTCCTTAGAGAGGGACATCATGCTTGGGAGGTTGGAGGGAAAGCACAGGAGGGGAAGGCCCCCTATGAGGTGGATTGATTCAGTGACTGGGATAATCAGGATGGGAGTGTCAGAGACAGTACGATTGGCACAGGACAGAGCAGAGTTTAGGGCTGTTGTACGTAGGGTCGCTAAGAGTCGCAAGTGACTCGACAGTACAACAACAAATTGGGATCATAAAAAGACAGGTGTGTTTAGGAACTGAACATCTCATGGCCAGCTGTTTTAATAGAAATATGCAAGTAAAATGCATTTTGAACATATGAATCTCTAGTGTCAATTTTTTGCATTAGTTTCAAGCACTTTGCTATTTGTGTGTCAAAATGCAGAACATGCACAAGTAATGAGGCAACACAGTTACAAAATCCCTTATCTTCTCTGAAATCATTTTACTTATACCAAAAAAACTAAACCCAAAACTATAGAAAAGGGTGGATCTTTACTAGGTTCAGTGCAGCACAGCCAGGGTCCAGGTGCTCAGCTGCTCTGTTAAGAGTAGGGGTGGGCAAGGACTTGATTGGTGTTATTGGGTTAGTTTTTCTATAAGGACTGAGTAAATATGGTAAAAATTATGTGAGCTAGATTTCTCACCAGAGAAAGTTAACTAGAAAGTAACTAGAACTGTGAGACGCGAAACAAATTTTCTCTATAAATATTCACTGTCATTGCCAACTCAATGCTGAAAGGTTTCAAAAGCAATAAATCACATGTGATGTAATGCAGCCACTGGTGGATTCAAATCATTAGAGGCGCCACCAGAGCTCAAATATTGTCATCGAGTCAAGGAAGACTCTTAACAATCCTATAAGCAGATCTAAACCCTGTCTATCCTGTACCATTCACATCTCTAACATACTTGAGCCCATTGCTGCAGTCACTGTCACGCCATCTCACTGAGTCTTCCTCTTTCATTGACCTTTCCCAGCATTATGACCCTATCAAAGGAATATTCTTTTAGCAACAAAAGCTAAAAGACATTTTCACCATCCTTGGCTCTAAGGTACACTCTGCATCTCCTCCTCAACTTCTCTGTTTGGTTTTTTGGCAGTCCATGGGATATTCAGTACTTGTTCTGTATGCTGAGTCAAACCACCACATAACTGGCATTCTTGGGGCGGGGGGAGGGCGGTGTTCAGAGGCAGTAAATCACATGAGAGGCGACTGCCCGTCATTCTCCTGCAGAGCAGCTAGTGGATTTGATCTATGTACCTTTGTATTCGCAACAGAATTCCTTACCACTAAGCCACCATAGACCACAACTCCAGAGATTCTATTTTGGTGCCATAGTCTGTAGAGATCTGAGCTGCTAACCAAAAGGTCTTAACTCTTTAGTAGTTCAAATTCATTAGCCTGTTTAAGATGGTCCAACTTCTCCTGTACACTACAGACTCTGAAGACTTGCAGGCAAGTTAACAAGGGTCAGTTCCAACTTGACTAGAAAGACTTTACTGAAGGTGGGGGGAAAGGGTGGCCTAGTTCATAGGGAAATGTGTTGCTAATATAAAGGTCAAGCCTGATAGTTGGATCCTAGAGAGACATGGGTAGTCTCTTCTCGGGTTATTCACAGTGTTGGACCCCAATACAGCTATCCATGGGTTCCAACTCAATAGCAATGAGTTTCAGGGTACAGTTGAAAGATCAGTAAAATTTTCCATTAGAAAACAATTTTACTTGGAAATTGTTGCATTAATCAAAATCAACCTAGATCTGATCCTATCTTAACCCAAAATTCTAAGTAAATGACAAAATCAGAAACAAATTTTGTCCAAGGTGAAGAGGATCATAATCTAGGGAAAGATGACTCAAAAATAAAGCAGGAAATCAAAAGCCAGGATTTGTACTAATCTAAGTAGAAACTAACACATAAATTACCCTACACCTTTCTGGCTCCCCTAAAAGGTCTAAAAATGCTGACGTTGAGATCACCTGAAAATTACTTAGTACTACTACTCTGCATCCTTCAGAAGGCCCTAAACACAGTATGAGGCCCTAAACACAGTATGACAAAATGTTCTTTTAGTTGGTTTAAAAAACCCAAACAAAAAAAAATATATATAAACAACCCAAACAGTATAGGAAAAGGAAACTGGTAAATCCAATCAGAAAGTAGAATTAAAGAGAATGAAGACTATTTAATAAGTAGAATCTGCTTGTTGTGTACCATCAAGTCAGAAATGACTCACAGCTGACCCTTCAGCAAGTTTTCAGAGGCAATTACTCACACGGAGATTATTGTTCTCCAATGGAGCACTTGGTGGATTTGAATCACCTACCTTTGGAGTGACAGTGCAATGTCTTAGCACTTGGTCACCCAAGATCCCTTTCTAAGTGCTGAAAAGTACTGGAAATAGATAGTGGAGATGTTGCACAACCTTATGAAGGTAATTAATGTCAGTGAATTAAGTACGTACTTTAAAATGGCAACATTTATAAGATTATTTTTTTAGTCACAATTTAAAAAACCCAGTTGGCACAAATAGATACATAACATTTTCAATGTCAAGCAGGGAGTTCTGACGGCCTAGTGGTAAGGAGTCGTACTGCCAACCCAAAAAACATGGTTCCAATCTGTGGGAATAAGATGAGCAATCTCCTATGTGATTTGTTGTTGTTATATGCCTTTGAGTTGCCTGCGACTGATCGCAACCCTATCAGCTCTGAAGCCTGCCTTATCCTGAGCCAGTCTCACTGTGATTTCCTGGCTCTGAAACACACTGGAGGGTCAACTATAAGGTGATTTTGACTCTAAGGTACACAACAATACATCTCAAGCAGTAGGTTCACTGGTGTCCATTTTTATGACTGTTTTTTATCTCAATATATACAAGCTCTATTGTTTTGCATGTCATCTGATGTTACTAAGAGTGTGATTTGGAAAAACTAAAACAACAAAAGGGCAATTAGCAAAAAAAAAAGGGCAATTAGCTTGGAAATTCTGTCTTAATATTTAAGGAAAGAAGCAAATAAAAAGAAAACTAAGCATTCCCATGCCAGCAATGTTTTTATTATTATTCATGAACAGTCAAAAGACTTACAAGGCTTGTTATTATCACAATCATACATATGAAATGTTACTTATTGACATGGAGTGAAAAGGACCATTATATATATATTTTTAAAAAATACATACAACACACACATACGTATTCTCTCTCAAAGGTTCACCATACACTGCTACAAAAGCAGGCGGCATTAAGTTGCAAAAGTTCCAATATACATAACATCTTCAAACATCTCAAGCATAAAAACTGCACTGAAGTTCAAAAATAAAGTTTCTTTCTTTAAATATTTTGATCTGTGCTCAAGCAAAGCAATAATGACCACCAATGATTTTTATACTTAACATACTTTAAACAATCAACACAAAAGTTTCAACAGTTGCAAAAATCCTGAAAATGCAGAGGTTATGGGCATGAACAATATATTTGATCTCCCTTAGCCCCCCCCAAAAAAAGTCTACAGCAAATCTGTTTTACCTTTGCTCTCAAATATTTAAGACTCATAATTTATTATACTTAAACAGCAAGATAAGCCAGAACAAACAGAAATATAAACAAAAACATCATTACTTCATACAAGGCATCATTGCTCCTTAGTTTTAGATAAGTCTACTAGTGCAAGAGTATCATTTACCTGAAAGATATGTGTCAGAACTAAAGAGCATTTATACAAAACTATTTCCTGTTTTTTGGTTAAAAAGTGCAACACACTATACTATTCATTTTTAAAAAAAGAAAACACACATACACTAATGAAAGACTGTCTGTCTCCATCTCTTGTCGATGAGAAAAGGCCAGAGTGATTCTTTGATTCCAATCCGAAAGGGTGTCCGCTGACCAATGCCCATGGTCTCTAGTCGAGAGCAGTCAAGCTGAGCATTTTTTGGACGCTGAGCTCCTAAGACAGGACTGTCGGTAATCTTTAAATAAAAATGGGGGAGGAGGGATTAAAGTAAATGATGAGCCCCATTTTAAGGTTTTCTATTTTTGTCATATTTAGAGGAGGGAAAAAGACCTGCTATCAAGATCCTGACATCTTTTCTATTTATTTATAGATAACAATGTAGAAAAAAAGCAATATAAACTGCCACAATACAAGCCAAGTTCCCCTTGATTGGTACTAGAAATTAAGTGATGTACCATATCCAAAGCAGTAAAGAGAACTGTTATCAGTAATAAATACACTTGTCAAGATAGATATGACCCTTAAAAGATAGAGTTTTATCAATAGTGTGTACGTACAGGTCTCAAGTGGCTGCTGGGGAGGTTGAATGCATCTGCAATTGCACACGCCATTTCATACTTGGTCATCTGTTCATTGCCCGACCAGTGAAAAGTCCCCTTAACTGATGGATCCTAAGAATATGGACACACAAAAAATTAGTTTCAACTTTTTTGAGCTGAGTGGAAGAGTAGGTTTCACAAGAAAATTAATTACAGAAGTCCAGAAACTAAAATTCACTATGCTCATTTTCTGCAAAGCTCTGACCACGATACCCAAAATCAAATTCCTATATACAGTTCCAGCAAAACAGCAAAAACGAAATCCAGAAGTATTTTTAGGCTTGTTTTTTTCTTGTTGTGTACCATCAAATCAGATCTGACTGGTACAGGAAGAGCTTGCCCCTCCTTCTTCAGCAGAGCATCTGGTGGATTTGAACCGTGCACGTCTTCAGAATTACAGTCAAAATCTAGATGTATTTTTAAGGAACTGAGAGAGAGGGGAGAACCTCCAATTTAATTAGTAAGAATCTTAATAGAATTACAGATTTTTCTATCAACAGTCTAATTTTCCAATTATCCTAAGATTTGATTTTGGTGAAAATCAAGCCTTAACGGAGCCATTTTTCAAGATGAGCCAGTCATCAAATATTAGACTATTTTAAAATATTCTAATGGTATATTTAAAACAAAATAAATTTTTGCATATTAAATTATAGTCATACTATTTTTAATACTGAGCATAAATCAGGCTTTTTCTTTGTATGGGTATTACATTGAGCACCAACACTTTGAAATGTTTAAAACTATCTCATAGGTACATACCTCAAAAGAAAATTATTTTAAAGTAATGAATACAGTATTTTCTAATACTGATTAAGCATCTACCATCTATGTACTGAGTTCTAGTGGCCTACTGGGTATGGACTTGTGCTATTGACCCCAAGGCTGCTTCATGAGATTTAGTCTCTGAAAACTTATTGGAGGGTCAGCTTTGAGTTGGTTCATTCTCAGTGACAATGAGTAAGATCTGCACACTCCTTTTTCAGTCTCACAGGTTGGGTTTTTTAAAAAAAAAAAACAAAACTTGAACTTCCACTCAAACACCTCCCCCCAAGTATAGCTGTGAAAAGTGAAACATGAAAAATACAAAGAGGATTTTTATAAATATGACATTAGGTACTCTTGCTTTCAAAAACTCTCACCAGCATTCTCTTCTCTGCTAACTGACGACACACAGTGGCTACATCCTTGACATGAGTGGGAAACCTCTGCTGCCAGTGGTCCATGTTTGCTGACTTATTGCTGAACTGCACTTTATCAAACATAATAGTCACGGCACTTTCTTCCAGCTTTTCAACCTCTCCATATAGAACAGGAATTCTCAAAACAGCAGCTCCTGGATGAAAATAATGATACTATCTTAAAAGATACCAATTAAGTAAAAATAACCCTCTGCCCATTCTGAAACTGGGTTGTCTTATTCTTGTTGAGGTGCTAGAGTTTCCAAGAAATTTCAGATAGCAGTCGCAAAGATTTCCTTTTTAAGAGATCATAATGATCCTCTGCTGATTGTTATTTTCAATCTTCTTTGAAAAGACATTTCACCAAAGAAGACACAATAAGGAATAAACACATGAAGAAATGCTTAAGATCATAAGCTATTATTAGAGAAACAACAAATCAAAATAATAATGAAATATCTCACTCCAGCAAACAACAAATGCTGCTGAGGGTATAGTGACACTAGAACTCTCATATACTTTTGGCACAACTATAAGCTCTAAGTCAGAATCTATTTGACAGCGGTCGGTAAAAATTAGTAAAGAGATAAAAGGCACATATTAACACAGGGAAAGCCAATATACAATGTACAAGTCAATATCAGAGAAAGAAGACAGAGGTATGTTGTTATTTTTGTTGTGCCATCAAGTCAGAACTGACTCACAGCTGACCCTTCTGTGGGTTTTCAGATGCAGCTAAGTGCCTGGGAAGAGACTGCCCATCTTTCTCCTTTAAGTAGTTATTGGATTAGAACCACCTGCTTTTGGCTTGGCAGTGAAATTCCTTACCCAGTAGGTCACCAAAGCTCCCTACAGAGAAGTATACAATAATGAAAATCAGAATTGTAAGGAAAAAGTGGGAAAAGCAATTTATTTTTGGTATTGAAATTAATGTAACTCAACAAAACATGTACAAACAATTGTATAAAAAGTTAATTTGTAAACCTTCATTCAAATCACAAAAATGGAAAAAGAATTTACAATGTTTTCTAATAGAAAAAAGGTAAAACTAATCATGAAAACTAAAGTGATCTTTAATTTTAGCATGGATTAAAAAAATAAAAGGCAATTTGTGACATTTGTAACAATTAGGAAATTGATTATATATCTGATTGTAGCATTATATTCTTCCTGAATGTGAGAAATGCATTACAATTACACAGAAAAAAGTTTTTTCTTCTTGGAAAAGGTTAAATATTTTGGGGCAAAATCTAATTCAACCAGATCAGTCAAAAACTACCTAACAAAATACGGCAAAACATTAATAACTGGTTAATCTATGTGAGGAAAGCTCTGGTGGCCTAGTGGTAGGAATCTGCCCAGCAATCCTGAAGGCATACGGTTCATGTTCTGCGGGATAAACACGGGCAATCTCCTTCCTTGGGATTACTGCCTCTGAAAACCCACTGGAGGGTCAGTTCTGACTCAATGGTACACAACAACAAATCTTTGTCAAGATTATGTGGGAAGGGAAGTTACCTGACCATCCTTTTAAATGAAGGATTTTTTTGAGATATTTCGAATTTATTTAAGGCTCTCCTGAAGGATTTGTTATAATAGTCTTTGGATCCCATTGCTGAGTCACCCTCAACTCATGCTGACCTCATGTACCAGAGTTGACTTGCTTCCTTAGTTTGTTAAATTTGGGGAGTTTTCTTGCAGCAATCTCTATGGTAGCAGATTATCAAGCTTTTCCTCTGCTATTCTACTGGATAAATCCACACTGATCATTTGGTAGTTGTAAATGAGCACAAACTTTTTGTACTAACCATAGTCTTTGTAGGAAGAGACTGTCAATCTTTCTCACATGGGTGGATCTGAACTATCAACTTTCCATTAACAGATAGATACTTTACTCACTAGGCTCCCTATTCTTTCAGTGACTCTTACCTAGATTTTCAACTGAAAAAAATCTACATTTTAAAAATGAACTTGAAAAAAAAAATTTAACTTCGCAGGCAAGTGGATACAGGTATCTTTAAAGATAATCCCTAAAGGACAAAAATCTAAATGTCCACTACTGTAGAAATCCAGGGAGTTCTAATGCATAGTCTGCTCCACTGCTAACTAAAGGCTTTGGATATCCATTGGTTGGAATTGTTAATTGCTCCACAGAAGAAAGGCAGTTTCCTTCCATTTAAAATTACAGCCTTGGAAACCTGATGGAGGACTGCTGCCTGATGGAGGAAACGACTCAGGAGTGGTGAATGGGTGAGGGGATTTTGTTTTGGTGGTATTTCTCGGGGTGTAATCAGTCGAAGGCCATAGTTTGTGCAGGGGATCTATGTAGTATTATGCAACAATTACAATATCCCAGAGATGGCAACACATGTAGTGAAATGTCAAGATGTGCAAAGGAAAAAAAAAAAAAAGATTATGAAATAAATTTTAAGAAACAAAAAACTCAAGGTGACCCAAGTGTGTCAGAGTAGAACTGTGCTCCACTGGGTTTTTAACAGGTGGCATTCCATGAAGCACTGCCAAGACTTTTTCTGAGGTACCTCTTGGTAGACTTGAATCAAACCTCCAAACTTCCAGTAACCGTTTATATTACTAAGACACTTCTACAAAACAACACATTAAAAAAAAAAAAAAGTAAAAATACCACACACAAAATGCTTCCACAAATAAGTAAATTTGGTCTTTATCTCCTTGTGATAGCAAAGATGACTTTGACTTTTCAAGTACCTGTGAATGTAAATGCATTTACTGGCAGCACAATGATTTGTTAAAGGTTCAGCTGCTAACTACAAGATCGCTGGTGGGTCAAACTCATCAGCTCCAACTAAGATCTGTTAACTATTCCCATAAAGATTACACCCTAGCAGACCCTAGGGAGCAATTTTATTCTCTCATAAATTTACTATGAATTAGAAATTAGCTGACAAGTATATACAAATACACACAGAGGGAGAAAAGATCAATGTAACAGATTATCCAAAACTACGGAAAATTATATTGGCCTGTATTTTTTTTGTTTTCTTTTTTATTCCTTGTGTACTGTCGAATCTGATCCGCCTGGCACAGGGGGGGAGATTGCCCCTCTTTCTCCAGCAGAGCATCTGGTGGATTCGAACTGCGAGCCTTCAGGATTGCAGGCATCTTCAGGATTACTATGCAGTAGGTCTGTATTTTTTTTTTTTTATAAAATCCAACTATAAAAAACAACAAGCCAACTCCCACCAAATACTTGTTTTCTATTATCAAAAATGTTTTACACTGTTACTAGAAAGCCTGAAAGAACTTAGAAGGTAGTTGTCCTTTCCTTCTTTACTGTTGTATTCTCCAATTTCTCTGCAACAAACTCTGTTGAGTAATTTTTTAATCATCGCATGTCTATATATCTCCTCCACCAAAAGAGATTCTTAAGCAATAATCAAGATAAAAAGATTTATGTCTTACCTAAATTATTCTGCAAGACAGCCTTTTCTCCTTCTAATTTTGTTTTGCCATATAAATTTAAGGGATTTGCTATGTCTTCCTCTCTGTAAGGTGGATTTGTCCCATCAAATACATAATCTGAGCTAATGTAGATTAAAAATGCTCCAACTGCAGCTACAAAGAGACAAAATGAAATAGAAACCAATTACTATTTGAAGACATTTTAAAAGGTTTAGTCTGCATTCAATATATCTAGACCTATTAAAAAACATCTATAAAACCTTAATGCTTAAAAACTCTGTGATCACTTAATATTTAATGACATTTTTATAAAGTCATTATTACCTGCTTCCTTTGCTAAATTCCCAGAAGCTTCCACATTAAGTTGAGAAGCAGCATCTGGTTGATTTTCCACAACATCTGGCCTTCGCTCTGCTGCACAGTGTACTACGACATGGGGCTGCAAGTTGAGAATTAATGCTTTTTAACACAATTAAGGAATAAAACACTTAACTACCGCCTTCCTAGAGTAAATTAATTTAGAGGAAAACGTCCATTAAAACAATATTCCCTCAACTAAGGAATATATAATTTCTTTTACAGTGGTCAAGCTTCTTGAAATATAGAAACTGGTCCTAAAAAGGAAAGAAAAATTTACTAATTCTTATCAATAAAATTCTTTCTATTCTATAATCAACTTTTGCCTCAAACTTAGAGGAATCAAAAAATCACTATCATTGATTTAATCAACAATGGCCCAGACATTTAAAAAATATGCAGTAAAGGGAGAGACACTACCTGCATATTAAAATTATAAATTCTCTTTTGACTAGTCAAATAAAGAAAATCAACTACCCATAAAATTGTCTTCCCACTTATGCATTTTCTATGCCATCTATATGACAGGCCCTGGAACTAAGAACAAGGATTTTATTAAATGTAGAAAATACAGACTCCAGAAGCTCATCATTTGCATGTCTTAGTTGTTGATAACGTCAACTCTGAAGGACTTAGAGAGTGATAAGGAACCTTGACTGCCTTTTGGGAAGGTCTGAAAGTCAATCTGGGACCTTTGAAATAAATAAATAATAAATAAATACAGTGTGTCTTTCAATTCTGAGAATCTGCCTTTCCATCCCAGATATACTAAATCAGAATATATACTTTAATAAGATCTTCAGATGATTCTTATAAATTTTATTTATTAGGTATACTTACTCATTATAACCTTAAGTACAACAGAACAAATCCTGCCCAATCCTCACAATCATAGATTTTATAGCTATACACACACAGAGACACTGAGAATTTTATTAAAATGTAGATCCCAAGTCATCGTATCTAGGGTAGAGGATCATATCTTTGTTGAGGATCAAACCAGAATGAACTGATTTAAAGTCTTATTGCAGAAGGTCCTCTGCAGAGACACGGACCTTGCTTGCCAAAATACTTAAGCAACTGTCAAGACTTGAGGTGAACATAGATGAAAACAGCAAGTACACTTATATCCCAAACTCTCTCCTTAGCAATGCCTCAAGAATTATGGTCCAAGAATTGTTTTCAAATTTGAATGTGGATAATTTGGAGTGCTTCCTAGTCCCAAGCAGTTTTACTAATTTAAAATCTTTGGCAGTGAGGTCTGAGAAGTTCCTCAAGTGATTCTGATACCAAGGCTCCTTAGAAAGCACTTAGAACAAGCACTCTTTGATTAAGAATCAGGAGCTAAACTTTTCTATGTCAAATTGTGTGATCATAGTCAACAAGTTACTTAAGCTCTGTGAGCCTATTTCTCCTTAGCTCTAACATGTAAACGATAATACCTAAATATGTTGGGTTGTAGTAAGGCTGACAGAAAATTCAAGAAGTATTTACACAAAAAGTGGTACTTAGAAAGTAATGAGCTTTTCAATAAAACGCTTATTTTGGTAATTTTTATAACTCTATCTCAACCCAATTGTGTAAAAAATTGCATAAATTAGTATCCTGCCATTCTAAAAAGTATGCCATATATATAGTCCCTGCTTAGGAGCAGAAAACTTTTAAACACAGCCAACTGTTTGATAGCCAGAATATTTTTTGTACCGTGCAGACAATTCTTAACATAACCCAAATATATGTAAAAAAGACTAAACCACACCTGGAAATCATGAATAATGTGATGAACTGCATCAGAATCCAAGAGATTAATCTGTTCAAATTTTGGTCTTGCTCTTCTAAAACCACATCCAACAGCATGCCAGTTATTCTGCTGAAATTCTTTGTATACAGCTCTGCCAAGAAGGCCAGTGGCACCAGTAATCAGAACCCGCCTGCTGGGGATGTTAACTTCCTCCTAAAAGGTGAAAAGAAGGCATGCAATGATTTACTTTGAAAATTAATTAGTCATCATCACAGTTTACTAAATGCCTGGAGTTTAAATAGTGCATTCATGTTCCGTATATCATGTTTATTAAGTTAGAAGATAGCTGAAGGAAATACCTAGTCAAACATCTAGATTTTATATCAATAATTTAAAATTCTAGTATTTATGATCTGTGATGTCTCAAAGCACATTTGTCTTTTATAGTGCCAATTATGTAACACCCTGTCCTTTCTAACCAAAAGTTGACATTTCTTATTTTTGGAAATCAATTCCAAATTTTTTTCTACAATTCTAAAAATTTATCAAATTTTGAAGGACCCAAGACAAGAGAATTAGTAAACATTTCACAGGAATTTAGAGAAAATTAAATCTGGTCCTTAAAGGCCTCACAATTCTAAGTTTAACCAACTAGCAAACAATCAGTTAACTCTAAATTTACCAATAAAGAAGAGGTAAAAGCAAGTATCAAAGGTAAAGAGTTTAAAACCAACCAAGCAATAAACATGTTTTGTATGTACTGTTACTATGAAAAAGAAAACAAAAATATTCTATATTGCCTAATTATTCTATTCCAAAGGATATATATAAATAAGGTAGAAAGAACTTCTTTTTCCTCTCTGTATATAATTGTCTCTAGAGACTTTACCAGCACCTTCTGTCACCAGTACAGAAGCTAAAAAAAGATTTTATCATTTGGATTGCAGGTTTATTGGTAGTTGGCAAGTAAAACACATTCACTGAAAAATTCTAAATGAAAATAGCTATCCTAATTTCTTAGTTTCTCTATAAACAGAATTTTATAAAAAGCTTTTTCAAGTACATGGGGGTTTACATTAGCTTTTTTTTTTTTTAAAAAGTAATTCTTCTAAAAATTACTTGGGACTGTTTCCAGAAATTACTTCAATTGCACAAAAGCAAAGTACAAGATTATCCAAACACGTCAAAGAACTCAAAAGAAAAATAGCTGTCTTGCTAGTCTAAACCACAATAAAGTCTTAAATTTTTGAGTAAAATAGATCATACATAAATTAAGTTACTCTGAACATATTTGTCACTCCAGTGCACAGAATTCAACAAGTCTAGTAGACTAGATGCTTGAAAAATTAACCACATGTAAGTAAATGCCATTACCATTCTTCTTATTAACTCAAGAGAGGACAAGTTATATTGGTTAACAGGAAACACATGGCTCTTTCAATACAGTCCAACAAAATAGTCTAGGAACATGATTCTACTTTAACACACTTACATTAACCTACCAGAAGTCCAGGCTGGGTTTAGAAGGGGTCATGGTACTAGAGATATTGTAGCTGATGTTAGATGGATCTTAGCTGAAAGCAGGGAATACCAGAGGAATGTCTGTGTTTCATTGATTATGCAAAGGCAATT